GGAGAGGAGTCAACTTTACATAAATTAAAAGTAAAATTGCATTCAATAGTATATATTGGTATGATTTTTGGCAGTATTACGTACAATATTGGCATGACATTAGCTACTAATTCACTACCAATGCCAAAAGATGAAACTAATTTTAAAGTATGTCTAATTATTTATCAGTTAATATACTGGGTTGTTATGGGAGTAATACTTAATATTACTGCATGCATAATGTTAGTATTCTTTGTCTTTACGAGTAGATTCAAAGATATAACTATGCAATTAAAAAACTGCAGACAGAGACAACATTCAATAAAAGCAGTTATTTATACAGAAGAGAATAAATATGCAGAATTGTGCGAGGTTATTGAAATGAATGATAATGCATTTGGAACGTACTTCACATTAGTTGATTTGTGTTTTATACATTCTACGGCTTGCAGTTTCTATTATGTCATTAATTTTGATGAATATATGGAGCGCGCATTTTTTCTCATTGTCGGCATCTGTTTGGTTTTATTTTTAATTGGTGTAAGTCTGGCTGTTGGAGAAATAATTAGAGAGGTAAATAAATTATTATTACTATATTATTATAAATTCAATTGTGTATACTGTACTCATATTTAAAATAAAATATGTTTAAATTTCAAAATTTTTCAGTCATTACAGCCAATTTACGAACTGTACGTATTTAATATGAATCATCTGGATATAAATGACTTGATGAAGGTAAGAACAATATACATCACATGCTAATTAAATTGCTCATTCATTTTATAATTAAGTAAGCAATTTATTATATATAAATTTTATTTTCACATTTTTAATTTTTTATAGATAATTACGTTTATGAAAAGAATAAATGGAGAATATGTCGGATTTCATTATTTTGGAACAGTTCCAATCAGCAAGGAATTCACAATTGAGGTTAATAATTATCGAAATTTTTATATTATCACTTAAAACAATATTTGAAATAGAAATTTGCAGTTTTTAAATGTTATACCGTATAAGATATAATAAGAAATTTATAAACTGTAAAAATTAGCATTAATTTTATTTATTAACATGAACTAAAATAGAAACCGTACTAAAGGTTTTCAATATTACATTAAACTAAGTCTTGCTCATTTGTGGTCGAGTGGATACAACCACTATCACTGGTGGTTGGTTGCGTGTTCGCTCTTCTACAACAGATTGACCGGCGTAGAGTTTTCCGAGTTTTCTTTATGGGCGTAATACTTAAACAGGAGCCATTTTTCCACAGAATGGCCTCTCGAAAGGCACTTTCTTGGCAGATCACGCAAGCATTGCGTTGCCTTATTCCATTTTCATACTTTATGATATTCTTTTTTTCTTTTTGGCAATCATTGCATATCTATATTTTTAATTGTTTTTGTTTGATTTAGTTAATAGCTATCTGTTCACAATTTTAATATGTAAGCTTATATTTTTTATGCAAATTTTAACGTTGTTTAAATGTTGTATTTAATGAGTAGCCTCAAAGAAAGGCCGACTCCGCGATGGAACTGTTAATTTCCTCATGTGGATACAAGTTAGAAGACACTTTGTGTATTATCTAATTTTAAGATTTTTTCTTAAATTTTGTAACGAAAAACTCGATTAAGATCAAATATATAAATGTGAATCTGGTTGTTTTACGAGATAAATGTCTTAAAACTATGTTGTGTAAGTAGGTCGAAACTATAAACATATATTTCATCAACGTAATGCATCGTATTCAAATTAATGCAAATTATTTAATGGAAAGAATATAAAATTTTAATAGTTTAGTATTATTTTAACTTATTCTTTTTTGTCCTTGCAGATGGTCAGTTCTGTTTGGAACAGCTTATCGACGCTTTTACAATTTAAAGAACTCACCCAAGCCTCTGGAAATAAAATCTGCGAAAAATCTGTGATAGATTTTGCATAATTTGTATACTTTACAACTTAACTCTTAAATCATTACTCTTCTGGATCTGTCAGCGAGAAAACGGAACAATTTGACACCTTTGGCGGCGAATTTTTACAATTTGGTGCTGAATACCAACCCATTTAAAACAAAAATAGATAACAAGAAATCCAACTAATTGAGATCGAAAAAAACTAATAACCAAATTCGCTCTAGAAACACCCCACACACAACCTCAAAGGACCCAATTGGGCGACTGCCGCGATGCATCACGGTATCCTGTCCAGACCTTGCTGAAAGCCACCGATGTATATAGTTGTATAGATGTACCGATGTATAGATGTTGATAGTGGCTGCAATACAAAACTGAAATCAATTGTTTGTGTAACATCCTACTCAGAAATATTTTCTCTTTTAAAGAATTTTGCATTTGGTTTATATTAGGACAGTGTATATTAACGATTAATTAGTCAATTAATCATTAAAATTTTAAACGACTTAAAGTTATTTTCTTCGATTAAATTTCAATTTGTTTAGATCTTTTCATGTTACTAATGTTGATTACAACAAATAACAATAATAATAAATCCGTAAAACATCTAAAAGAAAGTTTTAAAAGTTAATTTATAAATTTTGTACTTTATAAATTTTACACATTAAATCAGTGTTGCCCAAACTACGACCGGAGAGCCAAATACGACCCAAGAGCATATTTGACGAATCACTTATAACTGATAGGGGCACGCTGGAATCTACGGCAACGAGAGGGCAAACTCTCTTGCCCAGGAGGCTGCCAGGCTCTCTTTAGGAGAATGCCTTTATTCTGATAATCCCACCTCTTACCTAAAGCTACAACTGTTTAACGAGGACAGGACCTACTGGTAGAATAGGTGGAACAACACCGACTTGGGTAGAATCACCAGGAAATTCCTGCCGAACGACCTCAAAGAGAACTTGGTTTCCAAATGCGTTAACTACTACATCAATTTACTCAATTTATCACTGAGCATGGCAGGTTAAACTGCTACTTCAACGGGTTTGGCAAAGCCAACTGTACCAGCCTCTGCAATATCCCATGGGGTACGACACTACATTTCCAGTGACTCATGCTAAATGACAAAAGGATCACCATTCGTTTTCTTCTCCCTCATGACAACGACTGGCCCTGCCATGAAAGATCACTTCTTCAAGACGACAGGATCTTTGAGGCTTTTGTGGACTTAATTAAATACTATTTCCAGCGCACCTCCATCATCTAAGGTTTTGTTATTTTCTTTCGCTGCTACCCGATTACCTGCTGTTACTCCCGTAACTCTGCACCATGTTTGTATTACTATGTAAGAGCATTTGCTTTTATCTGTTTGTTCGTCTGTAATGTACTGTACGTCTATGAATGTTAATGTATTCTGATTTGTTGTAGTAATAATTACTGTTTCTTTCTTGTTTAATGTCCTGTACTTAATTTAACAAATATGCTATTGTAATTACTTTATTAATTAAGTCTTAGGGGAGATCGGGGCAACTTCGGCATGCGGGGCAAGTTTGTCAAGCGCTTTTTTTAAAAAACAAATTAAAAGGAGACTTTGGTTATAGGTTAGGCAGTTGAGTTTTATTGATGGCTTGTTGAGTGTAGTGTTTTTATTGTTCTCCAACAAGCGTAGTTGAATTATCAAGCAAATTTTCATTTTCGTTCAATTCCATATAATATTTTTTTTCCATTTATATTGAATTGGCAGGTTTTGTTATAATTCCATGATAACGAAAGTTACTTTTCCTGTTAGAAGGATGTAACTTCAACTTATTCACGTGGCCAGATCGTGGCTTGGCATTCTGTTCTCAGGGTTGTACTTAATGTTTCGAAATCATGACTAGCGGGGTAAGATCGGCAACATAAAGCCACATTAGAAGCAAAGGATAAAAATCAAACAGATGATAAATGAAAACATGTTTGCATTTGTTATTCATGTATATATGTCTTTGAACTTGCATTTCGTTGTAATAATATTAAATGGGTGTTGGATTTGTATTTCTTTGTTTTAATAGTGAATTCCAACTTATACATTGTTAATAACATAATTTTATATACGTGCCTATCTTGCCCCATTACTGTTGCCCCTATACCAGGGGCAACTTTAATAAAAATAATTAAAATAATTACAACTTTACAAAAAGAGAGAAGTTGCCGATCTTGCCCCTATACCCGGGGCAACTTCGTCAATTTCTCTCTTCTTGTAAAGTTGTAATTATTTTAATTATTTTTATTTCCAAACTGATTTTAACCAGTTCTATAGTAAGGTAACATTCCAATAGACAATATGCAAAGCTTTTTTTTCAGTTTACAGCAGTATTTATTACACAAAATTTAAGTAAAGCTTAACATGCCGATCTTGCCCCGATCTCCCCTATATGTGTAAGCTACTGTATCAGTAGTTGTACTTTCAACTATACACTGATTGAAATGTCATAATTTCGGTGTGCCATTGTATATATCTTTATTTCACCATTAGATTAGTTTACTCTTATATTTTTCTGTATTTTATTTTTTTATTTTATTTTATATATATGTTATCTGTACTTCATCATGTAACATATATTATGTAACAATTTATATGTACAGTACCTTGTCAATACTCTCAGTTGTGCTCTTACGGTGCCGAAAATGTACAGTACAAAACTTTAATAAAGGAAAAATGACTGACTATGGATGTTAAGATGTGTGGGATGGTCGCGATTTCGTTTACCCTGTTTGAAGCTTAATAATTCCTATACTTTTTGACGAAAATTTTTTAAACTTTGCAAGGGAATTTGTTTTTTAGGGGGATTGAATTGATGCTATTAACTTTTGGTGATTAAAGATGGGGGTGGAGAGAGAAAAGGATTAGTGTCATATCTCCAGTAGAGTCGGAATTGACGATTTTTTCTCGTTATTAGCATTTACATTTTTTAAAATAAAATCCATCCCTATCTTCAAAATTAAGTTTTTTCCATTAAATAAGCTCGAACAATATTAGCAATTTTGAATGCTTTCGATTTTATTTTTGTCGTTCGAAGTTCTATTTTTATATTCTTAGAATTTAAATGCAAAATAACTGGTAGAATTTTATTTTGAATTTGTATTAGACATTAATATTAAACATAAATATGGAAGCAGGATCTGGTAAGAATATTACATGCTTCTTGTATTTGTTAACATAAAATATGTAGTGTTCCTCCTATGTTGAGATTAAATTTGAGATAGTAATTTAAATTAGAATTTTCGTAATTAAGCATCAAGTCTGTCTAGACATGAATTTTTTTTAGCTTACTGCTAATTTTATTTTTCACGTCTTAATAATTGTGTGAATCATCAACTATTCTTAATAATCGTGGAAAATATTAATGAACTTTCTCTTCGTTTTAGAATGTGATCTACTGTCTAAATCCGTCAATAGAAATGATAACTCCTATCCTCCATCTCAACCTCGGAAAATTCCTAATCCTCTTAATGCCTTTATGATATTTTCACAAGAATACAGAAAGCAAGTGTCACTACAATATATCAAGGAGAATAATAAAATAATAAATATGCGTCTTAGAAAACTATGGAAAAGCTTAAGTAAAGGTGTTAAGGATGAATATTACATGAAAGCAAAATTTGCCAAATGGAGACATCGACGTAAATATCCAGGTAATATTCTTGAATTTCAGTGAAACTATACGGTTTAGAAAGCCATCAAGCCTCGTAGTTGCTACGGTTTAGAAAGCCATCAAGGCTTTCTAAACCGTAGCAACTACGAGGCCGGGTGGTCGAGGCTTTCTAAACCGTAGCAACTACGAGGCCGGGTGGTCGAGCGGTTGGCTACCTACCAATGTTGCCTATCAATGTTGCCAAATTAAGGTGGCAGCCTACCAATGTTGCCAAATTGGGCTACAAGTAGCGGATTGGGTGATTTTTTAAGTACCTCCCTGCAAAAATTTTAAATCGGGCGACACTGTACTTTTTTGGGCTAGTTTTAATTATATGCGGGTTACAAATCTTAAAAATACTCTACTTTTTTATCTTCAGATCTGGCAAACTAGACTTTTGTTGAGTTCGCGCCGTTGCAGTATCACTGACCGTGTTGCTGTTCTAATTTATACCTAGGTCTACTAGTTGAACGGTATTGTGTAAACGCGAACATTGAAAATTTAATTGTGTTACTGTATTACTCATACTAGCATAATGGGAAGTACATAAAAACTTCCAAAATTCTTGACACGCAAATAAAGAATTTAGCAAATGGATTAATTAAATAAGTGAGGAACTAGTGAAAAAGCATAATGTGAACTTTGTAAAGTGTATCTCAGAGCCTCAAAACTGACTGAAGCAAACATGCATCTACTGCAAAACATTAAGAATGCTGTGTGCATAACTTCGCACGAAGCTAAGCACGTAGTATTATTGCTCAGCAAAGGTTGACAACCGTATTTTCTCAAAAGTGTATGATCACTACACTTGAACTCAAGTTTGCTGCATTTGTTGCCATAAAAACATTAGAAATGTTGATCATTTAACAGAATTAGTATAAATGAATTTCCTTCGTCGAGTTCATCATCGATGGCGGTTTACGAAAAATTTTAAAATGTATAGAACTAAGTGCTCTGCTATTATTAAGAATCATGTTTTTTTTTTCTTATTGATGAATCAACCGATATTTTTTGTGTGAAACATTTATGCTTGTGTATTAGATATAATAACTCAAAGGATAATCGAATAGTATCTCAATTCCTCGGATTAATTTCTATCACAGTTACTACTGCGGAGGCATTGCATGATGCTGTTAAACACTTTTTGTCTGATGTTGGTGTCAATATTCAACAATACTTTGCTATTGCAACTAATGGTGCATCTAACCTGTGCGGTAATATCAACTCTCTTACACACACATGAAAAAAGATAACTTAAATATAATATTAATAAAGTGCATCTGTCATTCTCTTCATTTATCTTATTCACACGCATCAGAGGAATTGCCTAGAAATATAGATTATTTGCTCAGAGAAACATAGCTGGTTTCACAGATCTGCTTTGCACAGTGATTCTTATATGGAGCTATACAAATTGATAAACGATGTCTAGGAACTCTTAAAAATTCTTTCTCTTTCTCCTACACGGTGGCCAGCAAGAAGCAACTGCGTAAAGAGAATCCTACATCAATGGAATGCTTTACAATTCCATTTTAAAATGGTTTCTTCCACTGTGATAGATATTACACGAGAAAATTATCTGCTATGTATTCTGTTGCCGCGAACAAATTATATTTAACATTCGTGTTGCCGGTACTGAGTGAGTTTTAAAAAAAAACAAATTTACTTTTCCAAAAGGAAAAGTAAATTCCACTGCTGACGATAGAATGGGCTGCTTTTCTCATGGCATACCGACAGATGGAGCATATTTCTGGTGCAAAGCAATAACCATTAAATTCGGTTGGTGGTTTCGTTTTGGAAGAATTGTCTCAATTTGCATTGATTATATTCAGTGTGCCAATTAACAATACTATAGTTGAAAGAGTGTTTTCACGAGTAACTGCAACAAAAACAAAACTCCGAAACAGAATGGGGCTAGAATTTCTTTCTTCAATTTTCCGAGTTAAAATTATGTTTGAAGACAGAAATATATGCTGTTATAACTTCATACCATCAGCAAAAATGCTCAGATTTAATTTGTCAATCTATTGCATAAAAATCATGCATTATTTGCATAAAGACGACATAACCCAGGACTATTTTCATTTGAAACTTAAGTAGACAAATTTCTAAGTCTTTTTTTTCAATCCTTTTCACCTTCAATCTATTACCGAAAAGGAAGATGAGGAGACTGCTGTGATTTTTTGTTATAAAATTGTAAATGGCAAGTAATAAATAATTTTGCACTTATTATTAATTTATTTTACGATACATAAAATTATTAATGGGTTAGATAAAAAGAGTATAGATTAAGCTTATAAATTAGCGGTCATCGCCACATGTGATTTTGTTTGAGAGAACTAATCGTGCGTTCATTAAATTGATACTTTATATTGATCGAAAATTACTTGCGGGACATGAACATTTATACATAGGTAATTCGTACTATCTGTATCAATTTTCTCTCTCACGCCAAAGAAAGCCATTTGTACGCGAATAAAGCGACTCATTCTTAATTTCTTCGTTTTCGTTTGTATTCAAAGGGATGTATAGTTCTATTGATATTTTTTATATTTGTAATTGCGAGATAATTTTGGTAGCATTTTTACATGAAGGATTGATTTTAGATAGACAAAAATGTGTGAAAGGCAAAAACGAGTGTAAGTTAGTGAAAAATAGACAAAAATATTGTTTTCGGTGTACAGTTTGCATTACTAACAGTAATGCAAACTGTACACTGTAACAGTAATGCAAACTGTACAACAGTAAACTGCTACCTTGACCAACGGCCGGATGGCCGATCGGTCAAGGTAGCAGTTTACTGTTCTGGGAAACCCGGAATCGAATCAGGACGAGTCGAAAAATACCCAGAAACAGCATATAAGACATTATGAAACTTGTCCTTTTGCCTACTTTTTTAACTTTTTGCTCTTTTTCTAACTGTTTTTTTTCCTTTGTCGGAACTCAACCACACTCAGTATTGGATCAGGCTCGAGTTGAGTGTGGTTGAGTGATTAGTGGTAAAGGATAAGGCCCGACGTATCCGGGTCATGACATTTTTGAAAAATTTATAGGTTCTCCTGAACTCAAACCCAGATTCTTCAGAGTGGCAGACTAGCGCCTTACTACCTCTGCCATTTTTCATTTTTTTGTTACATTACAATAATGTCGGATAATATGGATTGAACGACCGAGATTGATGTGTCCATGAAAATTCACGAGAACAGAAATACAATTCGAACTCACATCGTTCCGAATGAACGATATAAGTTCGAATTCTATTTCTGCTTTCATAAATTTTAAACAATCTACAGTGGTACCATATTGCAAGACAATCAGACTGGCGTTCACTTAATCATATAAACTAAATTAAACAATTAGCTTGTTTCGACTATTTGACTTTATCAATACACAATAAAATACTCAAACAAACAAATAGAAAAAACAAATGAGAAATATTTCAATAACAGGTCAATAAATGACAAAAAATGATAAATTTTTATATCAGAGACCGAGACATTAAATTAATCACAAGTATATAAACTTATCAAGAACAAAAATACCTATTGATAATATACTAAAAAGTATAATATAAATCTAATATTTTAAAAATTATAAATTTCCACTGCTGTCCATCTGTTTGTCTGTCTTTCCTTAATCTCAATAACAGAGTTAGACAGATTAAAGTCCGACCAGATATGGAAATTCTTTGGGCAGGAGGCCCAGATTAGCTATACTGTATACAAACTTTCGACACAAACCGGAAGTTACGTTATTTTAATTCAAAAATCTTCCCTTGAAAGGAGTTAGATAGATGACCGGCACGATTCTATTGTTAACAGTAAAATTGTGATGTACAGGAGCAAGACACTACTAATTTAAGGTGGAGAGCATGTATTTTAAATTAAATATATTTAAAATACTGTATAATTAAACATTGCAGCCCGGCATTGCAGCATCGTAACAATAAATAATTGCGCATTTTAATCTATTTTTCATCAACAGTTTTAACAAATCAGTCAATAATCGTGTTTTGTTAATTTCTTTGATTCACTAACACAGGATGTGTTAGTGAAATTGTAACACATCTTGTGTTAGTGAATCAAAAAAATATATTATCCTTTATTGTTCACGACTTCTTGCCAACTTTACACTAACTTCTTTTCAATGCCTTGACCGTATAAATCACTGATTCTTGACTTGAAGAGTTCATGGAGCTACGTTTTCAGTTTCACGTCATTGTTGAATGAACGCCTCGCAGATTGTTGAAGAGGAACGGATTTGATCAAAAATGCTATTCTAGAGAAAACCGAACTCTGTAATAGCATTTTTTGTCAAATTAGCGACGTGAGGTGAGCGTTGTCGTATTGAAGAAGTACGCCGTGACGCCAGTGGGTCATTTCAGCTGGATATCCTCGTTGTGCTGAAGTTAAAGCACTGCATATCCGTTTTAAACAATCCTTCAAAAACTTCTAAAAACGAATTCTCGCATACCATTTATCTAATTATTTACTACTTATTATGCTTATTTAAAAAAATTGAAATTCTTACCAAACAAAATAAAACGTAAAATTAGCAGCTAATAAAATTTAAATCTTATTCCAATAAAATTGTCACACGTATCTTCTTTTAATGATAATAATGACTTGCACATCAGATTATCTAGTTTTTATATTTATTTATTCGATTTTGCATTGTAAATAATATTGAATCTCCAAGTTTTTTCAGAGGGAACCGAATTGCCATATTTGGGTAAAAACATAAAATGTACAAATTCTGAAAATGGTAGAATTTATTAGATATTTTTTCATCAGAGAAATTATTCCCTAATACAAATATTGCGTAAAATTTTAAAGTTAAAGATTAACTTATAATTATAACAGAAGAAAGCGGCACAGTGTATTCGTTAAGGGTAATTCGAAATTAACAGAGGAAATTACGTTCTTTATTTTGTCCCTCGCTTTGGATGAATCCATTTTTCTTGATTTTTGTATTTTGTCTTAAATTATTTATATTATAAAACGTAGGGTACTTTTTTAAAAATCTTTCCGGAATAAGAAGGACTTTTTGTAAGTCCATTGTGGGTTTGGCTCTGCTCACAATGAAGCGGTCGGATTGTCGACGGGCGGATCCTTTTATATCCAAATAGACCGCCTCCCGAAAATTTGTTTCCATCCGTATTCAGTCCCGTAGATTGCCACCTTAATCGTTCGGTCATCCGGCCGACCAAATATAAATAGAATACTATAACATTATATATATTTCCTCAGACTACGAATATAATTCATTTGTGGCTAGGAAGAATAAGAAAATCAAGCGAGCGATACTGAACAAGAATGCTTTTTCATGTAATACGCTGCATACACCTACTTCAGTTGCATCAAAAAATAAATCTGAAGACAATCCATCAGCAGAATTTAATGAAAAAGAATTATGTATGATTTAATTGTATTATTTAGATATTTTTAAAAATTTGCAGCTAATATAATTTCTATTTTATAAACAGTTGCACAAAAACAAGTACAAGAAAAAGAGATATCCAAACTTTCTGAACCTGTTGACATACGCAATTCAGAAAATACATTGTTCAGTTCTTATCCCGAATATACTTCGGTGAAAAGAAAACACGAAAATTACAATTTACAAGATTCTACTTCCGAAATTCAGTATTTCACTGAAGATTTTTATAACAAATATATTCAAGAGCCTAAAAAGTCAAAACTTTCTTCTTCTCAGCAGGAAACAAGAGATGTCGACTTCAGCACGACTATAAAAGAAGAGAATGATTTGCAGAATGTGAAAATTAAGGAATATTCTACTACAACAGATTTTATTAAGGAATCTAATGATCCAGAAATGAATCAAGCATCAGCAAAACAATTTTGTGATAGTCAAAGTATTGTTAAAAATGAAATGTACATTGTGCAGAACTTATGCAACATTTCGTTGTCAAACTGCTGTTCTGGAGGTCAATTATGTTGTTATCCACAATATCCAAGTTCAAGTTTTGTCGGATTAAATTCTGTTGAACATCATAATTATTTGCATTATGTCAAATCGAATGGTTGTCATTTCGGAAATCGAAACGGGTTACTTAACGAACAAAGTTATGTAAATAACGATGGAAGATTTCTTCAAACTTATCAAACAAGACAAAGAATACCAAGTCATGTCGCTATGGTTGGCAGCCATTTCAATCCCATTTCTCCCTATTCTTATCCTGAAGTACCAAAAGGTAAAGAATTGTGTCATCTAAAATAATTATAAAAGTTTAAAATATACTTTTCATAAATTTTCTGAACATTTATATATTATTTGCTATAAATTTTAAGGACTTATCACACCACAGTTTTCAATTTCCAATTATTTTAAAAAACTGTGATGTGATAAGTCCTTAAAATTTATAGCAAATAACATATAAATGTTCAGAAAATTAATTGTAATATTGGACAAATAATTATATATGTATAAGATTTTTTAAGGCTTAATAATAATCTATAAATTACAGATAATCCAGAATTTTATGGATCATTAAATGAAAGATGCCCATTCTTAGTCCATTTTGTACCTTGCAATGGACCTGAAATATTACCGCAATCACTCTACAAGTATAAAATCATTCCTTATATTTAAATGTTAATTATTTGTTTTAATTTTAATATGTTTTATCATTGCAGAAGAGAGATTTTGTCAACTTACGACGACAAAACTTTAATCCGTTCTGCTATTCATTTTAATAGCAACAATCCAGGTTTGGATTTATCATTTTCTAATCTGCAATAAACAGATCCTGGATAAATTTGACTCTTAATTATTATATATATTTATATTATTTATAATTAATTAACTATTCAACAATTTTTGTTATGTTTCAATAAAATTATAAGTTACAACATATATAAAAATTTTTATTGTACAGTAATTTAATAAAATATAATGATTATTTTACAAACGTTCTGTATTAATCCATCGGAAACTGAATATATTGCACAGCATTAAAAGATTATATGAGTAAGAAACATTTGCATTAATTGTTTTTGGCATTATATTGTTCTGACAAAGTAATGACTGCCATTTCGTAATCGTGACAAAATTTTAATTTTATAGACAATATCGTAATATATTATTTATAAAATGAAAACTGCATTACTACATAAAAACAAAAATATAAATTCTGAATTTTAAACAATAATAAGTCTCCAAAAACATATCTGTAAACATTACAGGTACAGCAGCTGCCGTCATCAAGGTGTAGATTAATCATTTTCAAATTATTACCTTTTATATTAGATGTACTATAAACAAAGGACAAAAATGTTTGAAACCTTCATTCAATGATTACGTTTTACATTCGTAATTATTTGGCTATGGAAAGTCTTGATATCAGGGAGGGACATCAAGTAGTATTTTCGACGTCAAAAGTGAGATCAAGAATTTTCATAAGATACAGTTTTGGTATCGATGCCAATGTCGTTTTTAATAAAACAATATTTCGATTTCAAACGCACACTTGGCAGTGCATTCATTATAGATTTATTTCATTACTAATTATTCCAGTTTATTTCATTATAAACAGTTTGAAGGAATTATCGTCATATTATATGCATTTTAAAAGTCTTTTAACACTTTATTATAAAATCGGAGTAAGCTTAACTTCGAAGTTAGACATGTTTTATAAAAAAAAAAAAAACAATAAATGATAATAACGAATAAAATGTTTATTAAGCCGAACCCCACTCAAGATACGACAAACGACACCACTCTCTGTTTACACAAAATTACTACTCTATACACAAAATATACCCCTGAGCACTTTTTTAAATACATTTCTTGATGTTTCTGGTTTTACTTTTAAATATTTCAATGTTTAAAATTTTATGCTGTATATTAATGTACTGGAAATGTTGACCACTCATTAGTTTAATTTAACTGGCAATATAATGTTGCAATAAGCTATATTTCTATCAATCTATAATACACACACAGAAATTCAATTCAATTCAATTTATTAAAACATATGTACTGTACTGTACGTGGTACATCTGCAATACGGCATAGCACAATTGGGGTGGGTAGGAAATATATAGTACATTAGGTACATAAAATGAGTTAACATATGGATACAAAATTGAAATAAAATATAAAATAAAATTAAGAAATTACATACTATTGACAATAAAATGATATAAACACAGGAGTAAAAACGTTGTTGCATAATTACAGTAACAATAAAGAAGTGATTAAAATAAGCAAATAAAGTTATTAGAGACTATACAATGTACGGTAATTACAGAATAAATACATATATACATGATTTATCCGAGGCAAATAAAGTCAGTATAGCCAAGTATAAGGATGTAAAGAAGTGCACGCAATCACGTCAGCTTGACAATGGGTCAGGTTGAGAATGGGAAAAAGCAGTGAACTGGAGTGATGGTCTAGTAGGTATTGATAAGTTTGATAGAGTTTGTATAGTTTCCTGTTTTCAAGTAGGATGTGGTGGCTGCAGGGCCAAGTGATGCCTGCATGGAGACACGTCAAGATGGTGAGCCTTTTCTTAAGAAGCATTAAACAATGGAAGACATAGTGATCACTCCCGTCACCGCAGTAGTCGCAGAGATCTCTGTCCTGGAGGTTGAAGCGGTGAAGGTAGCTGTTGAAGCGACCATGTCCCGTAAGAAATTGCGTAAAGTTATGGTTGTGGTTGACCCACGTGAGTGAGTTCCGTTGCTTAACTTTGACACACACAGAGATCTACTGTAACTAGATTTAATTGACTATAGACTCAAAATAAAAACTTGCACACATTTTCTTATAATAAACATATGAAACCTGCAGCTGATATTATTTAGTTATTATTTAAAACGAACAAATACAGCCAATTTTACTTAACTCTGTTTATCTGTGATTTTAGAGGACCAATGCCATCGGCGTTCAGTAAAATATTGAAGTTCTCCCAAAATTTCACCTAATGTTTCCTGTAAATGAGACTCGAAATTTTCAAGATATCATCCGAGAAATTAATCGTTAGTTCGAGCTGCCATATTAATAAACAACTGCACTTAAAACTCCTTCACTTTGTATTGAGTTTAAACAAATGTAGTAATTTAGCCTGGAACGTCAACTTTATACAATCGTAACTATCCTGTCATTGAGCGAACTTGCAAACTAATTGATGTTCGCCGCCTTCAACTTACATAGTGAGTCGACAGTGACGTCACCAAATGTCGTTGGACAACTTTTCACACAGCAGACTGGCACGACAAAGGATGAAGTGGGACACCGGTAAATGCAGGATGTTAAAACTCGTATAAATACGGCTCGTCGTATACGAATGCGTAAATATTCGCGATCGACTTTTGAAAAAGTTTTAAGTAAGAGTAGGAAAATTACAAGGCTAAAGAAAAATATTACGATTTTTCTTCGCGTGCGTTGGAAATTGTAAGACACTCCGAGCTAAACGCAGCCTAAAAGAAGACGCAGCCAAAAGGCACGTTATCGACGAGGGTGGGATTCGAACCCACGCGGGAAAAACCCAATGGATTAGCAGTCCATCGCCTTAACCGCTCGGCCACCTCGTCCTGAAGTACTGCCCTATCTTTCGATACATGCATTTTCGCCAACCACTCAATACTTGGCAATAAGAGTTGCACTCAAAATGTTGGCTGTAGTAGCGTGGCGAGTGATCGGATGATGGCGTCGTCGATAATACGGGACACTGTCTCACAGCAACTTGATTTCGATTCGGGCGATGTGGCATCTTTTCTGCAGTGATATGGCTTTTTTATCTCACTGGATGAATGCAGCGTACTGCTACCAACCAGCTGAAATAGTGCCGGTTGAAACTTATGAGAACCAATTCGCAGACGTTATATTCGTTCCGTCGATAGCTCAGCTGGTAGAGCGGTGGACTGTAGTGGCTATAGCTATCCATAGGTCGGTGGTTCAAATCCGCCTCGACGGACTTGATCGTTTTTTTCTCACGTTCGGCGTCAAAACTTATGAGAACCAATTCACAGACGTTATATTCGTTCCGTCGATAGCTCAGCGTTGTATGTGGACGTGTGATGGCCTCGCTCCCTGTTTCTAGTTCCGAAATCATGGGTAACTCGCCCAGTACAACCCGGTATAATCGAAGTGCTTTATCGAATGAAGAAATTATGAAATTACTAAACTTTCCAAATGATATAGACTGGTGTAAGACCCTACTTTTGGTCGTCGATCCTGGAAACGGTCCTTACAATATTCAAGATTCTGTAACTGAATTAAGAGAAGTCATTGACTTAAAGGATATCATTCATTTTGGCGCATCTGTAGTGACCCATGTCTTTACTATCGGGCTTAAGAATGAAGCTACGGCGGAAACTCTTCTTAATAAAGGAACCATTAATGTAAAAGGTAAGCCTTGTAATATAGTAAATATAGCAAACCGGAAAATAATAGCCACAATACACTGGCTCCCTCCCGAACTATCCCACGAACTTGTGACGAAACATTTTATAAATTACGGGAGAATANAAGGTTACAATTGGCCTATTAGGAAAAGTAGCCTTATAAATAATGTTAACATATATTATTATTTCAATGAATTTATAAAAACTTGTTATAAAAACAGAACATAAAAATTTCTGTCATAGTTCATTGTTAAATTAATGACATCAAATACTCTACTCAACAAAAATATAATTAATGTAAAAAATAGAATTGTCGGGTATTAATGTATTGCGGCTACGACCGCGACTATGTAATCTTAACTACCTGCAAAGCGTATGCGAAGCAGGTTAATTAAAAGAGGAGTACCTCAAGCCAGTAGCATTTAATGCAACAGGTCAGAGGGAGTGCTCCACTAAATGTAATGTAAAAAAAATGTAGTAGAGGAGATTTTGTAATAATTAATTTTAAGTTACTAAACCTAAAGAGATTTTAATACAATGAGTTTAACATTAAATCATTCCTTAATAATTTTTGAACAAATTATTTTATGAATCGGAAAATTTTTTATAATCTCTTTGTAACCTCACCTTCATTTAACACTTTTTCATTTGATGACGATGGTTCTTCGTTTGTTCCCAGTTTTCATCGGCAGCCTGTAAAAAGTGAAATTTGCTTTTTAAAATATTAATAAAAATTTAAATTTGTACCAAACTTCTCATAACAGTAACAAGAACTGCCATATATTCAAAAGTACGAATACCATGTATTCAAAAGAACTACCATGTATTTAACCAAGTAAGGTTATATCTAAATCTAATATACTTCTGGAAGCGAAGACTCGCTTGGGGTCCGGGTGGCGTAACGAGAACCGGTTCGACCGCGGTGTGAGTAGGACGTGAAATGTCGCGCTTTGAAACTGTCGAAGTTCAAAGTTTACGTGGCGAAAGCCACCGTTACTTATGTGATCAAGATATTTTACGATTACTGAATTTTCCAAATGACACGGACTGGAGAAATACGCTGCTGTTAATTGTTGACCCCGGAAACGGACCCTACGACATCGAAGATTTTGTCCCCTCACTTAGAAGTGTTATCGATTTGAAAGACATCGTACACTTTGGTGCCAGTGTAGTGACTCATGTCTACATTATAGGAATGAAAACGGAAAATAGCGCAAGTGCTTTACTAAATCTGAGAGAAATACAAGTTAAAGGTAGGAAATGTCGAATTATTCCTATAGAAAACCGGAAAGTGATTATTAATATACATTGGTTAACACCAGTATTATCACATGATCTGGTTAATAGACACTTCATAAATTATGGAAGAATTGTAAAGTGCGAATTTTTAAAATCGGCAGTGCCTGGGTTGGAACATGTCCTTACGAACAAAAGACGAGTATGGTTAGAGCTGAAACAAGGAATAAGTATTGAAGAATTGCCGTATTTTATAAGGGTGAAAGGTATGACTGGATCGGTTGTCATCGCGGACAGACCACTACTATGTTATCGATGCAAACAATTTGGTCATATCAGAAGAAACTGTCTCGAAAAAGTGCAAAACTTGTAAAAAAATTTGGTCATTCAACCGAAAACTGTATTGGAAAAACGTATGCTTCGGCAACAACGGTCGAAAGCACGTGGTGTGGTAATGTAGACAAAGAGTCAGAAAACAATAAGGCAACAGGGGAGGAGACAATGCCAACGTTTCAGCAACGACGAAGCCCGAGGCGTCGTCTTCAGTCAAACAAAACAACAAAGAAGAATTTAACAGGAAACCACTAAGCACTGACGAGAGACAAAATTCGTCCGGAAGCCCTCCTGACAAACAAAGGAAAATTAAGGCGACTCCATCGATTAAATATAATGAAGTCAAGCCTAGACCAGACACTCAAAAAGGTTGTGACACGACAGACATTGTCGTAACTACGAATAAATTCAAAATTTTAAACACATTAAACCAAGAAAGAATGGAATGCGAAAATTTAATGACATCGGACGATACTCTTTCAGGGATAACCGAAAACGTCTACACAACGGTTACTAACAAATAAGAGGTTATGATTGTTCCCCCAAGATGCGAAGCAAGCTATGCATTATAACGGTTAATATAAACGGGCTTAACGTTCACCACAAACAGGACCTTTTAGTACAGTATCTGTTGCAGAATAACATAGACGTGGCTCTATTGCAAGATACTAGACTTGGCGACAACTGGAATGCCACCGTGTTTAGGAATAAAATCGACAATAAACGAACGAAATGGAAACGACCTTAGAAAACGATAAATTAGAAAATAACAGTAATGATAAGAACACAAAAGAAGAGAATATCAAAACAAACGAGCCGGAAGTCATGATAATCCCGCCGGAATGAATAAGCTATAAATTCTCTCAATAAACATCAACGGTCTAAACAACAAAAATAAACAACAAATCTTTATTCATAAACTTCTTACTAGTAAAATTGACGTTGCATTAATTCAGGAATCAATGCTTAGTGAAAATGAAAATTTTCATCAATTTGCCCGTAACATAAACAAGTATTATCAAGGTGTCTGGTCCCACGGTAACAGAGGTAACGCAGGAACGGCGATTCTAGTTAAACATGGCATTAATATCGTATACCAGGCACACGACGACCACGGGCGGTTGGCTCTTTGCGATATAGAATTTTCACATGAAATACAGAGAGTCATTTCAGTTTACTGCCCATCAGGAGATCCGAAAGCAAGACGTGACTTTATCAATATCCTTGATTTTTATCTGGATTCCACTAACGAAGTCGTATTAGGCGGTGACTTCAACTTCGTCGAGAAAGATATAGACAGAATAGGAAACACCTGCAATAAAAGCGAAACTAAAATTTTCCAGACCCTGAAAGATCGGTTTGACTTAATTGACATCTGGCGTAAAATGAACCCTCATAAATGTGAATTCACATACCATCAGAATAAATCTCACTCCCGTTTGGATAGATTCTATATTTCTGGTCACCTCCAGCAGATAACGTCGGAATGCAAAATCATTCCGAATCACTTAACTAATCATAGCGATGTTATTTTAACACTCGACTTAACAAAGAGGAACTGCAAACCCAAACATAGAGTAAATATACCCTGGAAAATGAACGTAAATCTACTGAAAGAAGTCGACTTCCTAACTGAAGCAACCCAAACGATATTTAACACCACGGGAGAAAACGACTGTGATTGGTGGGAAACTGTGAAAAAAAATATTAAAAATATCGCAGTTAAGATAAGTATAAATAAAGAAAAACAACGTCGTAAAGAATACGAAAACGGGATACGGGAACTGAAACAGGCATATATGGACGAAATCCAATACCCTGGCAAGCATCAAACAGCCATTGCGGACGCAAAAGCCAAACTAAAGGTATATCACGAGAACCGTCTATATGGAGCATTTATCCGATCTCGTGCAGAGCTTTGTGAACAGGAAACCAAATCGTCCAAGAAATTTTATCAAATGGAACGAAAGCATAATCAATATAAAACAATCAGTACAGTAAAAAATGGAAATAATGAAATAATAACTGATGAGGAAGAAATAACAAAATTTATTCACTAATACTACTCAAAAATATTCGAAAGGAAAAGTTTTCACGAAGGAAAAGCACGAGACTTCATGTCTCGAATGCCAAAGCTTAACGATAAGCAGAGTACTGAGCTAAATAAAAACATCACCTACGAAGAATGCAAAACAGCGCTAAATAGCATGGGAAATAACAAATCACCAGGACCGGATGGGCTACCTGCTAAATTTTATAAACAATTTTTCCCCTTGATAAGGCAACGATACGTCAACATGATCAACAACGCTATAAAAATTAACAAACTGATAAATGGCTTCAATCACGGAATAATCACCCTCATTCCTAAAACCGACAAAAAGGAAGAGTTAACGAAAATCACAAACTGGAGACCCATCTCACTGCTCAATACCGATTACAAAATCCTCACTAAAGTCCTAGCCACCAGACTTCAAACCTGCGTCCCCTCGATCATAGACGAGCACCAAACCTGTGGCATAAAAACCGTTCCATCCACTCTAACATTTTTCTCTCTCAATCCATCTACGAATTAGCCAGCCAATGTCACAATACATGCGGTCTTCTACAAATAGACCTCCATAAAGCCTTTGATAATATCGGGCACGATTACCTCGGGTCGGTCCTAAACCACATTAACATTGGAGAAAACTGTTTCAAATGGATAAACTTGTGTTACGAAAACGCCACCAGCCAAATAATAGTTAACAGAAAACTTACAGACAAATGTAACCTGTACAGTTCTGTACGCCAGGGCTGCCCATTATCCATGCTTCTTTTTATTATTTGCATGGAACCCCTTTTCCACCACATTACAGCTGACAGTAACATCAAAGGATACCGCCTTCAAAACAATCTTGACAGCGAGATCAAATACACTGCTTATGCGGACGACATAACGTTGTTCCTCACTGACATAAACAGTATTAAGATGGTGAGTCTAGTTTTCGAGAAATTTGAACATATCTCTGGTACGGAAATGAATCCTCAAAAGTGCAAAGGGCTCTGGATTGGAGCCTGGGAAAATCTCTCATCAAACTACTTAGGATTTAACTGGTCCAAGACCAATATCAAATGTTTGGGAATACTGATAGGTAAGAATAGCAACGAGCAATGGAACAAAGACATCGAGAAGGTAAGAAAGACCTCTTACATGTGGAAAGGAAGAAATATCTCAATTACTGGAAAGGCTAAATTAGCGAATATCAAACTGCTAGGCCCTTTTTGGTATCTTATTCACACGCAACCACTCCCCAAGAGAGCGGTGACGCAAATCAATAGAATATGTGCCACCTTCATCTGGGGCTCAAACTTCGAACCGATAAGAAGAACGACGTTATATAATTGTTTAGAAAACGGAGGAGCTGGCTTATTGGAAGTCTCCCTGAAAACCTTAATCCAGAGGATCAAATTAATAAATAACCTGCACAAATATTGCATCTGGACTAGCCTAGCGAAAGCATTTTTCCAACTCCATACCAAATATAGTCATAACTACCGAGAAAATACACAGGCTAAGACCACCAACAATACTGCTTGAAATTGTACGATGCTACAGAACAATGAAGAAAACTTCTCCGATGAAATCATCTTTACATCAACACCAAAAGAGCTCTATTATAAAGTAATAGATGAATTTATTCCGAAACCCCAAAACCGTATATGTCAATTCAATCTGAGAAGTAAAAATATAATTAAAATCATTTCAAAACTAAATATCCCTAGCAAAGCGAAAACCATCTTTTGGAAACTTCATCATAACTGCCTACAGACAAACGAATGGAGAAAGCAAAAAAAAATTTAAAAACTGCACAGACTGTCCCATATGCTACAACAAAGAAACGCTTGAACACGCCATCCTGGAATGCAGACACACGAACCTACTCTGAACAACATTAAGTAACAAATGTTCTCTAACACGAACGCACAATATAGAAGACATCAAATGTGAGTATACAGAGACTAAACAGCAACTAACAATACTAATCATCGTGATAAACGCAATCTGGACAAGCAGAAATCTATCCTATTACAAAAAAACCAACGAAGGAATAACCTTTTTTATTTTTAAAAACCTAATGGAAAACCAGAGACAACTGCTAGAGTACAAAAAGCAGAACTTTACAAATATTGAAAAAGAAAACTGGATAAAGACTGGACTTATTATGGAACGTAATGGTTCACTACAATTAAACCTGTAATGCTCTTGTAAACTATTAAATATTTTAAATGTAAATATTTAACTATTCTATACCCATCCAGTTTGGTATAGTTTCTGTATAAAGGATATATTGTTCTGATAATAAAATTATTTGAAAAAAAAAAGTTCGGGTGGCGTAACTGGCAAGCGCACCGCACGGCAAGTGAAGGTTTTGGATTCAAGCCTCGTCCTGGGCCAGTTCTTTTATTCCAGAAGGTTCTAAAATTTATTTAATTTTAATTATTAATTTACTTAAGAGATGGCGCCTAACGCCTACATCAAATGTCAAATTACTTTATTCCAATCATTTAATTAGCTATATTATAGCCCGATATTTAGGCGATCATTTGGTAATTTTTGTACTCTAATATGATAAAGAATAATCCATTTTATTCAATAACAATTTAAAGAAACTAAAAATATATTTAAGTGTAAGCTATGACTAAACTATATAGTGTCTTTGATTCATAAAATTCTTGTCAAAGTATAATATGAAGTTAAATTTTATTAATAAAGCTGTTTTGACCGCCCCCTTGACCTACATACATCCCGTCCCAAAGGTCCCGCCACCACCCCTACTGTACCTGCGTGAGCATACCAGTAGGCCCTGAGACTTAAATACACCAATCCGCTATCTACTAGACCTATGCACCATACCCATAAGGTCAACCAGTAGATTTTTATTGGCATGGTATGATCATGCCAACACCATATATGCACCATTACCCATGTGATGATGAAGACTATCAGGAGGTTTTATCTCCCGAGCAACCTACTTCTCTTCCTTTCTCTTTTCTTGA